GAATGCCCATATCTTTACGGTCTCACATTCACCGCCTCCACTCCATCTTTTAGCTGAATCTGATGATCAACCAGTCGGTGAGGAGGTAAGGCGGTGGGAGTCTCGAATAAATCCGAGTAGTGTCCGAGCAGCTCCTGAAGCTCCGGATGGAGCACCGGCGGCCCCCCTTCCTCGATTGGCCAACACAGAATGGCCAACTCGGCCTCGCCTTCCGGACCACATTCCTCGAATGGGATGGGTCCAACAACGGTGGTGAGGCCCTGCAACTCCCAATCCTTATCCCTCCATTTGAAATGCATGGTCAACCTATGCCAATCACTAGTCACAGGGCCCAAACTCTGTAACCATGGAATCCCCAAAATGATGTCGAATCCCTTGATTGGCAGTATATATAGATCAGTGGATATAGGCAGACCTTGAATTTCCAGAGAGATACCTCGAAGAACCCCTCCACAGCTCAGGGAAGAGCCATTCGCCACCTTCACCACCATGGAATCGGTGGCCACGGGAACCTGCTGCAGTTGCTTGGCGAATTCCTCGCCCACAAAATTCAAGGACGCGCCACTGTCGACCAGGGTGATGGCAAAACGATCCTCGATTCGAGCTCGGAAACGAAGAGTCCCCGGGGAGGCCCACCCCGCCACTGAGTGCAGCGAGAGACAGGGCTCGGGCGCTGGTGGCGCAGGAGCGACGCTCGGCGAGGGAGAGACCGGCGGCGCGTGGGCGGCGCGCAGCGCGGGCGGCGCGGCGGCGGTGCGCGGCGCGGTGGCTGCAGGGGCTGGTCGCGCGGCCTCCGGTTCAGCAGGCAGCCATCTGCGACCTATGCTGCGAGCTCTGTTTCGCAATTCTGCCCATGACAGGTCCGAGAGTTGGGAAGAACTCATTGACGATCGCAGGCTCTGATACCAGATGTAAGACACAAGAAAGGAGAATTGGGAATTTAGGGATTGAGAAGAGTAGAATTTAGGGATTTGGAGAATTGGGGAAGAACAAGAGAGAGAATAGAGATTAGGGATTTGAGAATTCCTGATTATTATTGCTTAACTTCCAAAACTAATGAGATGCATCCTTAAGTAGCAGTAAACCGAAATAACACAAAATAACAAGTTTGCCACTCCTTCCCCCCTTATGGCCGACTCGGCCCTCTCCCTCTCTAACCCGAGGCCGGGTTTCCCACACTCTTATCTAATAAAAAAATTCTAATCGTAAAACCCCAGCTATAGTTGATTCTTGTATAAGTAACTTTGTCCAGCTAAATGGCTAAATCATCAATAAGAGAAATCTAAACTGAATCTCTCCCATAGTGCAATCACCATCATCAATTGAAGACGCCACATAAAAATATCGCATTCTACAACATTTTCACACTCAATCTTTACTAAAGTCAAGGTCAAAATATTCCCATCCTCTATTTCGTTTTCTTTTGTTGATCAAAGTAGAAGAAGAGCAATGATGATTTGTGGAATAGAGAAGGGTCCTTATGTCAGGCAAGTGGCGCTTCCTTCTTTTTAGTCCGCATGATTTCATGCTTCCCCAAATCATTATATTCCCTCTTTTCTCTAATCCTAGTGCTTAATTCTGTTAAGCGACCTCATGGCGGCATTTAGGATTTGTGTGTTTGTTTGATGTTATCTAAAATTTTAATTTTTTTGGTTAATACCTTATTTTGGCCCGAACTATGATCATATAATCAACTTTGGCCCGTGGTTTCAGAAATTAACATCATGACCTCAACTATGCAGCATATAGACTCAATTGGCCCGCCACATAGTTTGACCGTCAATTTGGACGGTCAACTCCGTTGGCGGTTAGTCAACACGCCATGTCATCGCCTAATCAGCATAAAAATCATTAAAAAAATTCAAATTCAAATTCAAATTATTTTCCTAATTTCTATTATTTACCATTTTCCAATTAACCAAAAATATAAAATTCTAAAAATATAAAATAATTTTTTTTGGATATTTGAAAATGGTACATTTTATAAATTAACCAAAATTATCAAATTAAATTTTATAAATTTAAAAATTATTGTATAAATTATATTTTTTTTGTATGTTTTAAAAATATAAAATAATTTGATAATTTTTGGTTAATTTATAAAATTTATCATTTTCAAATTATCTAAAAAAAATATTTTATGTTTTTTATAATTTATTTTTGGTTAATTTAATAATAAATAATTTTTTTAATGATTTTTAGGCTGACTAGACAATGACATGGCGTGTTGACTAACGGTCAACGGAGTTTACCGTCCAAATTGACGGTCAAACAATGTGTCGGGCCAATTGAGTCTATATGCTGCATAGTTGAGGCCAAGATGTTAATTTCTGAAACCACTGGCCAAAGTTGATTATATGGTCATAGTTCGGGCCAAAATAATGTATTAACCCTAATTTTTTTTACGAGCAAGTCTGATGCAACAACATAACGTTCTCAAATTATGGTAGTTATTCGATCAAATATGTTGAACAACACTAAAACGGTACCATCTGTAGGAACTAGGAAGGATGTAAGGTGTAAGAAAGCAAAACAAGGTAACCCTTGTTATAAGAACCAAATCGGATTAACGGTTGGGTCAGTAGAATCGCCAAATCAGTTGCGATAGCGGTCGGGTTTATTGCTTGGACCGTTATTGGTGGATCAAACATTTTTTTCATGGTTCAACATAAAACCAGATGAACCACCACGGTTTAACTGGTCCACTGATTCACTATTTTAACCACGATTTTTTGCAGAAAATACTTTAACATAAACTAAAACAGTCAAACCTTCATTATTAATTTTATAACTACGTCCTCTTCTCATTCTCTAACTTTGTTGTCGACTTTCCATGGTCCACTACCGACTGGCATCGTAATTTTTAATTTGAATTGAAAAAATTATGATTTTTTTTTGTGAGACGGTTTGAATGATTTATTAGATATTTGGGTGATGATATGAAATTGAAATTGAAATTGGTAAATGATAACTTTATTCTCAAATTAATGTAAAACACAAGTCTTATATGTTATATATCGTGAACGGTACCAACGGTTTTGTAACAGTTAGCCACTGATTCTTAAACCACTAACTTTCCTGTTCAGCCTACGGTCCGGTTTTGAAAACAGAGGGTAAAACCCACATTTTGCATAACTTTATTGTCTCGTAAACTAATAATTATCTGCTGTAGAACAGGTATCAGCACATGTTGATATCGTACTACTTTATTATATCATAAATTTCACTAGTTATAACGATTGATCAAAATCACGGATCGTCCCAATCTAACAATATCAGATCATCACTCCTATACACAAGCTAGCAGAACTGAATGTCCTGAATACCAAGCAAACATCACCATGGAGGGAAAAGATGGATTGATGGGAAATTTAAAAGAAGGGGCTATTTATGTGGAGTTGTTGAAATCTATGAGAATCTTTCAATGGTCACGTCTGCAATATCTTGGTAGCAAAACTTGACAGCCCATCACATCTTCTTCTCCACTCTCTTATAATTTACAGAATCTCAGGTCTAGGAAGGAAGGAAGGACACCATGGGCTTTTACAGCCAGTCCACAATCACGAGCCCTTTTTTTGCTGTCCTTTCCTTTCCTCCCTTGTTTAATGTTCTTGTCTGTTAAAATATAGTAAAGGTTGGGAAGAGTCCCTTCTTGCTGCTGTAACCTCATACACGTCAGATACAGAGAGAAAGAGGGGGGACATTGTTTAGGTTAGAGGCTCGTCACCCTTAATGGATTTATTGTAATGTAGCAAAGCAATTAACATAGTTTCAGAGAGGGATGTCGAATGATCCTGTCTACTGATTTGGAGCTATATATCCACTCGACAAAAATCCTGCTTTGTATGTTTCTTCTGCATATTGCTGTATTCTGGAGGAAAGTGTTTCTCCAAATGTGTACATGGTTTGAGCGGCTAGCTTTACCGAGAGACTCCTCGACTTGCTAAGCGGCCCGTGATAAAAACTAGTTTATTCCTGAGGGATCTGAATTCTGAAGCATCCAAATCCTGTTGCAGATACTGGAATGTTTGGATTTTGGAGCAGCAAGTGCGGTAAAAAGGGTTTGTTTGGAGATGCAGGGGATCGAACCCTGTACCTCCCGCATGCAAAGCGGGCGCTCTACCATTTGAGCTACATCCCCAAGATGCAAAGTATGTAGATAGTTTTGTATCTATCCTAAGCCCAATGTAAGCTCGCCCCTCATTTTCAACTTGCAGTATGCCATATTATTCAATCAAGATTCAAGGGGACCAGCCCCAGCACTATTGCCAATATAACCCATTGCTAGTTGTGGGTAGCCCACTAGCTTTCCCTACTTCACGAATCTAGTCAGTTATTTTATCCTAAGTTCTAATAGGTGACAATAACTCAAGTTTTCGTTGAATGGTTTCGCTTTCAACACATATAATCTCACTAGTTTAAATAATTTCCAATCACTTTTGCAACACCTCATTCTATTTTTATTTTTTTTTAACTCATTTCAAGTTACAGAGGCCAAGAATCAAACATATTTCATTTTGTTTTAGCTTCGTTCAACAAACTCACATGATATCACGTTTCGCAGTCGCATTTATTAGACACGCATTATAACGCGAACAATTTGTCATGAAATCAATAAAAGAAAAATGAATCAATTGAAAACTTTAGCAAGCCTATAGACTTAACTAGACTCATTGACTCCTGTTTATGATCTGGAATATCTTTACTCCTCTTGCCTCGTTTTTTCATGGAGTCCCACATTTCCATTCTCCTTTGCAATCTCCCAACAGACGTGAATCCCACTACTCCAAAAGCATGTTCAAAAAAATTAAAACAATAAATAACCAGCTTAACTACCATCTAATCCACCACCCCTCTCTACAATAATTTATCACCCTCTAAGCAACCTCCCTAATCTCCTAATTCCCTCCCTCTCTCTCAATTTGGTACACCACCAAACTATTACATATATCCACAACCAAACACTCCGTTGCCAAAACATTATTATCAGAAGCTCAAAAATGAAAGCATTAGTTGCCTTCAGAACCAAGCTTCTCACACCATGCAGGAAATTCCTTCGAATCTTCAGGCTAAAGCTCAGAAAACCCCTCTCTATAAAACCCCTCAAAGCCCTTCGATTTGCTCGTCCTCATCGTCGTCGTAGGGTCAACTCAGCACCACCCAAACCACCCACTTCCTTCCTCTCGCTCTTCCGTAGTCGTCGCCATAGAAAGATGGACAGAATGATGGAGCTCAGGAGTACTGTGTCTGAGGCAGAACCGAGGGACAGGAGGAACCTGTTAACTTCTCCGGTCACCCCGGCTTACATCAAGGCCTTGAGGTCCGGGAGCCGGTTTGGGGATGAAGCGGTCGAAGATGCGTGCAGAAGCTTCGAGAACTACTTGGTGGAGATGATTGTGGAGGAAGGGAAGATGAGGGACCTGATGGATGTTGAGGACCTTCTCTATTGCTGGAAGAGCCTCAAGTGTCCTGTCTTCATTGATCTGGTCTGCACTTTCTATGGTGAGCTCTGCAAGGATTTGTTTGCTCCCGATCACAATGAGATCGAAATTCACACGACCAGTTCGTCTGGGTAGTGCCAATTCTTTCCTTCTTTTTCTCCATTTCTTCTGCATCAACTACTTGTTACTCCCTAGTCAAATCATGCTGTGTTCTCAAAGCAATTTTTTTACTGTAGTCTAGAACTAATTCATATCAACATTGTATTCGAATACAATACGCTCATTGGCAACTGGCGAGTACTAGTTCATATTTACATTTACAGGTCAACAAGTATATATAAGGGCGTTTCCTGGAACCTGACAACAGACTCGTTATAGAACAACTACCAGCATCTGCTGCTGCTGTTTTCCTTCTTACGCTACCTACAATTGAAGCACTCTGGAAAAGCAACTCATAACTAGCTCGATTCTAAAGCATATAAACACATTTAATAAGAGGAGGTGAATAGCAGGCTTCACAACGTTACCCGTGTCAACAAGAGCATCTCCATTCTAGCAAGTTACAGGAGAATGAATCATTTTGGTTTCGAAAGATAAACCCGAGATTTAACCAATTTGTCCCCAATTCTGAAGCCAGGCATCACCATGAATTCAACTTTACAGTTGGACTCTGACTTCTCTTCAACAGATTCCATATAAACATCAGAGAATTCACTTCCACTGCTTACTGCAAACACCTTAGCCTGGGGATCGATCGATGTGGCAACTCCCTGTAGAACCCAAATCCACTTTGCCATTCTCACAAAGATTTGGTACAGCGGTGTTCTTGGATGCTTCCCACTGATCACCAGCATCCTATGATCCAAATTCCTAAAGAAACATATCTCCATCACCGGATGAACAACGAACAGGTACTTTTTCCCACAGAAGTTGGCGAACCCTGAGTTAGGATTCTCTATCAGAGACTCAATAGGATCATCGTACCTCATAACATCATCCACATTACATGACTTGAGTGACATCCCATGGAACATTCTCCGAGAAACATATGCTTCGAATGCATACTTCTTATGCGACCTTTTGGCATAAGTCGCCCCTTTCACAACTGCATCGGCAGCCAAGTCTAGATCCCACCCTGAAGCTTTCATCAGGTTGATCATCGGCTTTGCAAAATCATGAATTGACTTACAAGCCAATCTGAAGATTTCCTCAAACATCACAGCATCCACAACCTTCCAACTCCTTTTCTCCAAGCTTCTTGCCTTCATAGTCTCGACCAACAGTAAATTGGAAGTGTCCAAATCATGAAGTTGCTCCCTCAATCGTGCAATCTCAGCATCTCTAGCCCCAGTTTGAGACTTCAGTTGCTCCAAGACCCTCTCTTTAGCTTCAACTTCAGCACGCAGCGAGCCCAAACGAGAAGACTCCAGCTTCGCCTTCTCAAACTGCTTCTCCTTAACCGACCTTCTAATGTTGCAGAGAGTTTGGAACTGAGACATGACTATTTCATCAGCAGCTAGAATCTTGTCAGGGTTGTAAGGAATATGAGCTTCCTGAAGCTGAATGTACGCCAATTTCAGAGCCGAAACCGAGTCAAACAGCTTGACAATATCCTTGTCACCACCGCTCAATTTCCCGCTCTTACTCGCAGGAACCACTGCAGGTTGAGCACGAACTCCATCCTTCCCACCAGCACGGCCGGAATCTGTTCCCCCACTGGCATCGCTGCTGCTGCTCTCACCCATCAAACGGGGATTGCAAATGCCGGCGGGATTTGTTTGGTTATGTGGGTTTTCACCGGAGAACACACCAATGGATCTCAATCTGCAAACTTTGGCAAGCTTGGAGACCATCTCCGTTATGTTTGAAGGCGGCTTTAAGGGTTTAGCGGGCGCACACTCCATCCCTTTGCTTGCTCAAAACTCAAAACAAGTATAATAAAACCCCTGGTCGTAGCAGATCTAGGAATGATTTGAACTAAAAATAGGAAAAACTAATGCGATTAAATGAACGGTTCCCAAAATGCCTACCAACAACAGCTAAGAAATTTCCCCGGGAATCCTGGCCAATTCCCTGAAACCCTGGCAAATGGGTAGCGTTTGTAGTGCCCTGAAACACCCTTGATTAAAGAAATACTGAACAGCTTCACAGAAATAGAACCCGCCCCAGATAGAAAGTTCCAAACTTTGACCTCCAACCACGAATCAAACTTCACACTGGACTTTCAACAAACACTAACAAGACTTAAAACCCAGAGACAGACAAGGAAAAAAAACCCACCACGAGCTTTTCTAGCAGAACAAGAGAAAGAGGGACGAGCATAGCAAGAAACTTGAGTGAAACCTGTAGCTCGCTTGAGTTGAAGCAGGGGTGGGTCTTGATCAATGTTCTGGTGGAGACGAGATTTTTAGGATCAAGAAAGGCATTGATGGAAGTGCAAAGTTTCCAAAAAAAAGTTTGCTTTACCAGAGAAAAGAGACAAAGACAGGACGGGAGATAGAGAGAGGGAGAGGTGGAGACGCGGGTTGTGGTTTCGTGTGCAGTTGTTGGCGTTCGTGGGCGTGGAAACGTGGGCTTTGGGGATTTTTCTGCTCCCTTTGATGGTTTATTTTCTTTCTCTTCCTCCGTGAAATTATTTCTTTCTTTCCTCTGGGGAAGTGGGCGGGGAATCTGTCGAAGTTGCAGAGCTTGCAGAGGGTTTTTGAATTCTCTCTCTTTCCCTCTCTGAAAAAAGTAGGGTTTTTAGTCAACCTGGTCACTCATTTATCACATATATACAACTTGGTCATGTATTCTACAAAACGAGCGATTGGATGCATGTACGTAGGGATGGAAATTTCGACCTCATCCGTTTTATCCGATCTCTTTGTCCTGTTTGGGAACGGGAATGGGTACTCTCATCAACCTGTCCTGATCCGCCCCATTTTTGATCCGTTCTTGCCTAAATTACATGTAATCTTAGTCAAATTACTTATGATTTTTCTTTTATTACATCATAATTTAGCTATAATAAAGTTGAAAATTAGTGAAAACCTTAATTTCTCTGATAATTTAACTATACTTATCATAATATTGTTTGTTTTCTTGATCTTATAATAAAAATAACGAATATTTCTAATATTTTTCATATAAATTGCATACACATTGGATCGACCTGCGACGTGTGATAAATTACCCCACCTGGACCCTTCCTGCCACGAGGCGAGTCTGGGACTAGGGATGGCAATGGGTCGGGTTGGGGCGGGTTTTGTGAAACCCAAACCCATGGGTTTATCCGCCAAAAAAATCCAGGGTAAAACCCGCTGGGTTTGAAAAACTCAAACCCAACCTGCTGGGTATCCGCGGGTTCATGGGTACCCGTAGATTTTTGTGGTAAAAAATTTACAATGACAAATTTATTTCAACATAAAAATTTAACATCAATTTTCTCATACAAATTATTCATACAAAAAACACCAATCTAAAACATACAAGCAAACCGCAAATGATCAATACAAATTGTTCAAAATTAAAGATAAACCTCTATAAACAACAAGATTAATTGAAATCTTTTTCCTCGTCAAATAAGTTTCGTCACTCTCCACTCAATAATATCAACTTCATTCTAAACAATTAGAAATAACAAATCATACATGTCTCCACAAATATAAATAATATTAGTTGTTTAAAGAAGATATATTATTTAGAATATTAAATATACCGGGAAAATAATTATATGTGTGGGCGGGTACCCATGGAGCGGGTTTACCTAAACCCAAACCCAACCCGGTGAATAGTGTAGCGGGTTTAAACCCGAACTCGGCCCAAAACCCGTCAACACAGGTTTTACCCGCGTTGACCGGGTTGGGTCGGGTGGGTACCTGTGGGTTCGGGTTTTATTGCCATTCCTATCTGGGACCAAGAAACTCGCCCCTTACCTGCCTCATTGCCATTCCTAGACACATGTTAGCTCATTCTTTATCACCCTGCACTTTATACATGCATAATATCACAACGAATTAGATCGTATTAACACAAATTTGAACAAATACATCTACAAAATATATTAGAAACACAGCACAAATAATTCAAACCGTTAACCTCTCTCATTAGAGAGACCATACATGGAGATTCAGGAGTCGCGCAATGTTTTTTTTAGGAAATTGATAAAGGTCGTCCTTAAAATTACTACTGATCGTCCTAAAAAAATAACAAAGTTACGCTTTTAATCCTTTGGCATCTTTAACAAACAAACATCACTTTGACTATAAAATTTTTTTGAAAAACACTCAATTTCCCACTCTCGAATTCATCGTTGACATTCTCGAGTCGTAATCGTTGGGAATACGTCCGAATCACGAGTAGCAACTCCGACGAGGTAAAATTCCGAATATTTTTTTTTCAAAAAAACCCAAAACCCTTCAACCGAAGCCAATTTCGGTTGTACCATGGACCAACCGAAGGTCGGTTGGTCCATGGTACAACCGAAAATTGCCTTAGGTTGAGCCATGGTACAACCGAAATTGGCTTCGGTTGAAGGGTTTTGGATTTTTTAGGATTTGTTTGGTTTATATTAATAATTTTCTATTCTTTTACTACGATTTATGGTTCGGTCCATAAGATAATTTGTTGGATTTTGGTTTATCTTTTTTTTTAGATTTATGGAAGGGGAGGGGCTGTTTGATTTTGAAATTCAAAATGGGCAATTCAGTAAATTACATATTAATTTAGGACGATTATTAGTAATTTTTAGGATGACCTTTAACCATTCGACTCAAACTGATTTCATTGGAATCAAAAACTCGCCTCTAGGGCAATTACATCAGCAATTTGGGCAGGATAACAATCTTGCCACATTCTGTCACCAAATTCTGGAGACACGTAATTAACACCATGAATGAAGTGAAGTGAGATTAAAGGTGGATTTGTCATTATCTAACCTGCTAATCTAGGATCCTCTGGCTCTTTGGAATCCAAACAACGCACAACCATGAACCCAATAATTAAATAATAATGCCAAAAGGGTTTCCAAACTGAAAAAGCGACGAGCGCACGGAAATTACCAAAAGTAAACAACCGCACGCGGCTTTCTTTTCCCATTTTTTTTTTTTTTACTTTATTACCGCACTAATCTTTTATCCAATTTTCGGCTCAAG